CAGTGATGGCGAACCTTTTGAGCTCGGCCTGTCAGCATTTTGAAAAACCCTAACTTAACTCTGGTGCCGTGTCACATATAGAAATTTTTTGATATTTGCAACCATAGTAAAACAAAGACTTATATTTTTCATATTTATTTGATATATTTAAATGGCATTTAACAAAGAAAAATCAACCAAAAAAATAAGTTCGCGTGTCACCTCTGACACGCGTGTCATAGGTTCGCCATCACTGTCCTAGACTCTAGCAAAGGAAACTAAGGAGAAAATAAACAAGCTTCTGCACAGCAAAGGAAACCATCAACAAAATGAAAAGTGTGGCAGAGTATACTTGGCCATGATACAGCTAGTAAAGGTTAATATCCAAAATATAGAAGGAATTCATACAACTTAAAAGGAAGACAAACAATCCAATTAAAAAGTGGACAAAGGTCCTAAGTGGACACTTCTCCAAAGGGGACATACACAAAGCCAAGAGAGTTAAGAAAAAATGCTCTAAGTCACTGATCAGCAGAGAGATGCAAATTAAAACGACAATGAGGTATCACCTCACACCTGTCAGAATGGCCGCCATCAACAAGACAACAAATGACAAGTGCTGGTGAGGATGTAGAGAAAAGGGAACCCTCATGCACTGCTGGTGGGAATGCAGACTGGGGCAGCCACTGTGGAGAACAGTATGGAGTTTCCTCAAAAAATTAAATATGGAACTGCCATTTGACCCAGTGATTCCAATTCTAGGAACATATCCTAAGAAATCAGGAACACCAATCAGAAAGAATGTATGCATCCCTGTGTTCACAGCAGTGCACTTTACAATAGCCAAGATCTGGAAACAGCCCAAGTGCCCATCCGTAGATGAGTGGATAAAAAAGCTGTGGTACATTTACACCATGGAATTCTATGCAGCAGTAAAAAGAAGGATCTATTACTCTTTGCGGTAGCATGGAGGGGCCTGGAGAGTATTATGCTAAGCGAAATAAGCCAGTCAGAGAAAGACAGAATTACACGATCTCAGGCAAATGTGGAATCTAATGAACAAAATAAACTATTGAACAAAATAAATCCAGAGACACTGAAGCATGGAACAGACTGTGGAATCTCAGAGGGAAGATGGGGGAGGTGGGTGGGTGGGAATATATCAACCAAAGACCTTGTATGCATACATACATATATGCATAACTCATGGTCACAGACAATAGGACTGAGAAAGTTGGGGTTCAGGGGGCTAGAAGGGGTCAATAGGGGAAAAGGCAGACATATATAATACTTTCAACAATCAAGATTTAAAAAAAATAAAAATAAGCCACCACAGAAAGCATATATAGGGTGTCCCCCCAAAATGTGTACACACTTTAACAGCTGATAACTCACTTAATTTTCACTCCTTTTATTTATTATTGATAATTAATATAATGAGCATAGCATGGTATGAGCTATGGTTGATTAGACTTCATTGGTTTTGAAAGTTTTGAGTGAATACTTTGTAATGTAATGACTTGAAGGTCTGGCTTTAAGGCCTTAGCTTATCACAGAGTTTTAAGGAATGTCATAGCTGGAAAGTGGTACCTCACAAAGATGGATCCAAATGGAAGAAGTTCATTCTTGGCTCATCTTACTCAATCATGATACTCATTTTTCAATCCCAGACTCCCATTATGCAACGGTATTTACTGTTGGCAGGCCTGTCGGGTAACAGACACCCTCACACATTGCTGGTGGGAGTGTAAACTGGTACAACATTTATGAAGTCAAGTTGGCAGTATCTTTCTAAACTGCACACACACACACTTTGGGATCCAGATACTCAACCTTCTAGGAATCTATCCGAAGGCCATACTAGCATGTGTTTGAAATGGCCCACAAAAAAAGTTGTCCAATGCAGTGTTGTTTGCCAAAGCAAAAGACTGGAAACAACATACATACCTATCATTTGGAGATTGGTAAAACAATCTGGTATATCTTTTTTAAAAAAAAAAAAGATTGTGCAATCATAAAAAAATGTGAAAACTCTTTAGGTACTGATAGGGACATAGGAAGTGAAACAAAATTAAGGCGTGAAATATGAGGCTGCTGTGATTTCTACCATAAAGGAGGGAGTGAAGAGGGGAAGATGGAGCTCGACCAGCCTGTTGTGTAGGCACTGATGTCTTTGGAAGGATCCAGGACAAATCAGTGCTTCTCATCACCTCCAAGATGAGAAGTGAAGGTTAGAAACGAGAGTGGCAGGGCACGTTTTCATACTTGATGCTTTTAAGTGTTTTAGATTTTGTATAACGTGAAGGTATTCCCTGTTTAAATTTTTTATGTTATTAAAGGGAGTCATTGTTATAAAGTTAACATCCTATAGCATAGACACTGCAATATATTACAGCGGGGAAGTGAAGAGGTAAGGGTTGGCCTGTCTCATTTTGTCACTCTCCACCCTTCTCTTAGGCCACATCAGCTTCTATATGTCACTTCTGGACCAAAGGTGTAGGCCAAGCATGTCAAACTCGCGGCCCACCCAATATAACGGTATGTCAGAAACATTTTAATAAAAATTTCATAATTTTTACAATATCTGTTATACATAATTATTAATGAACGACAACGTTCGCTAATGACTGATTACTATAATCGTGTTGCATTCATTTCCCTTATGCGCAGGCGCACCATTTCTCTCCACTAATACTAGCAGCGAATATTTTAGCAGCCGATGGCCACGTCATTAATCTTGTACTGACTTGTTTGGTGGGCGCAACAGGAAATATTTCCTTTTCGGAGAACAAGAAAAATAGGGGTTTTTTTGCATTATGCTTATTAATTTGTGCAGTTATTCAGTGTCTGGTAAGATAATGTTCAAGAAAAAAAATACTAATTTTTATTAAAATGTTCTATATTTGCCCTAACCGGTTTGGCTCAGTGGATAGAGCATCGGCCTGCGGACTCAAGGGTCCTGGGTTCGATTCCGGTCAAGGGCATGTACCTTGGTTGCGGGCACATCCCCAGTAGGAGGTGTGCAGGAGGCAGCTGATCGATGTTTCTCTCTCATCGATGTTTCTAACTCTCTATCCTACTCCCTTCCTCTCTGTAAAAAAATCAATAAAATATATATTTTTTAAAAATGTTCTATATTTTATGTTAATGATGACTCATTTATTTCGGCCCTTTGTATTCAGCATGTCTCTAGCAAAATAAACCTATGTTTCTATGAAAATGGAAGCTTTTGTTTTTTTGTGGCCCACAGACACTTAGACCTTGTTTACTTGGCCTGTGTTAGCCTTTGAGTTTGACATGCTTGGTGTAGGCAGTGTCAATCCCTATATGAAAGATCAGTAAAGCTTTTTTTTTACAATTTATACCTAAAATAATGATCCATAAAAGTGGTACTATTACTAGGTTGTTCTTCCTAAGGGGTTCACACCAACCCTCTGGATGCGGGCGCCCTGCTCTGAAGGCCAACCAAAGATCTGTCAAAAGTCCCGGTACCATTGAAAACATAGCCACCCATTCACATAAACGAAGAGGTAAGAATTTATAAATGTGTCCTCCATATCCACAACAGCCAACTTCCCAAAACATGAATTCTCTATAGCAAAGCCAGACACCAAGTCAGCGGCAGGGTAACGGACATCTCCGAAGTCCCCCGCCGCCAACCCTGGGCGACACTCGGGTCCCTGGGACATGGCAATGGAATGATGGCTCTTGCTTCATCATGTGAACGTTAGAACTATTTTCTTTTAAAAGAAAGAGACATTTTTACAAAGGACAACACAGGAGGTGCCCCAAAGCAAAACAAGGGGAATAGAACGACACGGTTTGTGCTGTTGCCATTACTGGCGAGATTCTGATGTCCCCAACTGCAGAATCTCGCGTTATAAATCCAGGGCTGGCTGTCAGTTCTAATTTAGGGAGTCAGGGACAGTTTCCCACAGTAGCGCTCTGGCCTGAAGCCGTCTGTCTGACTTCTAGACATTGCCGTGTCAACAGCATGCCCTTGAACGTTTCGGGTGCCCAGCGAATTAGTGGTTCGTACCAGAGACAGGATACTAGGGACTGAGACACCAGACAAGAGAGGCATCTGGTGAAGGTAGATTTATTGAACTTTCTGCCAGTCTTATTTTGTAAGGCCGATGAGTCCAAGGACCCGGAAGGAGCACAGAAAAGTAGTGATCCCCCGAACACTTGGTCAACACAGTGCCAGGAGCTTCACCAAGTACTCAACATTTTCTAGGAAGAGGAAGGAATAGGACTAATCAGAAGAGCGTAAAAATGAAGGGAAAAAATGGTCAAGTATGTATCACAGGACTGACTATGCCTTCCATGTTTTTATTTGCAGGCTTTAAACTGATAACCAGACTCGTACTTCCCATCTTGTCCATTTGGCCAACACTTTAGTCATCCTCCAAGAATTTTCTTGACTGCAGCCTTCCTCAAACTGATCAGTCCTCACTCCAGTCCGAGGGATGCATGTCAAGTGCTCCTTCTGTTTCAGTCGCACTTTGGGGCAATGCCTGTTCTTGCTCAGAGATCTTCCTTCTGGTCACTCCTGAGAGCAGACAGCCTTGGACATGCAGGCGATCTTTCAGGCCACGCCGGATGACGTTCAACCACTGAGCCACACCAGCCAGACAGGAGCTTGCCTTCTTGACATTGTGTCCCTCCTCCCTGGGCAGAACCTCATTTGACAATGACCTTAGGCATGGAGTTCTCCAGCTCGGTTCTGAAGCTGTCTGTCCGACTCCTAGACATTGCTGTGTCAACAACATGCCCTTGAACGGTTCGGTGCCCAGCGAATTAGTGGTTCATACCAGAGACAGGATACTAGGGACTGAGACCCAGACAAGAAAATACTAGGATTTTCAGACCCAGGCATCTCTGGTCTGAAAGAATGCTGGGGTGGGGGGATAGGACTGGGGATTGGTATTTAAGCCTGAATTTCTCATGTCCCCGGGTCAGAGTAAGTTATAGTCCCTGCATCGGAATAGCTTCTTGGTCAGCCAGTGGTGGGTCAGAGGGCTCCTGCCCTTTGCTAATGGATCTGTGTGTGACTTGGGACAGGCTTTCCAGCCTGTCCCTGTCCTTCTCCGACTGGTGCTGTGTGGGTGCAGCCGCTGCATACACACAAGCTTCCAGACCACAGAGTTGACTGTGACCCCTGGGGGTGCTTCTTGGCTAAATGCCTGGCTGCACTGTGATTCTGCTTGTTTCTGGGAGCCAGATACTAGGGACTGAGACCCAGACAAGAAAATACTAGGATTTTCAGACCCAGGCATCTCTGGTCTGAAAGAATGCTGGGGTGGGGGGATAGGACTGGGGATTGGTATTTAAGCCTGAATTTCTCATGTCCCCGGGTCAGAGTAAGTTATAGTCCCTGCATCGGAATAGCTTCTTGGTCAGCCAGTGGTGGGTCAGAGGGCTCCTGCCCTTTGCTAATGGATCTGTGTGTGACTTGGGACAGGCTTTCCAGCCTGTCCCTGTCCTTCTCCCACTGGTGCTGTGTGGGTGCAGCCGCTGCATACACACAAGCTTCCAGACCACAGAGTTGACTGTGACCCCTGGGGGTGCTTCTTGGCTAAATGCCTGGCTGCACTGTGATTCTGCTTGTTTCTGGGAGCCAGCAGACTCCTCCTGATTGTGTTCTCCTCCGAGGTCTCCATTGTCTTTGACAATGACCTTAGGCATGGAGTTCTCCAGCTCTGTTCCGAATGCAGCCAGTCCCTCAGGTGGAGTTCTAGAACTTGCCATCTCTTTCTTCGCTCCTTTCTTTCATCCTTTCTTCGCTCCTTTCTTCCCTCCTTTCTCCCTTCCTTCCTCCCTTCCTCCCTCCCTTCCTCCCTCGTTCCAAATGCAGCCAGTCCCTCAGGTGGAGCTCTAGAGCTTGCCATCTCTTTCTTCGCTCCTTTCTTCCATCCTTTCTTCGCTCCTCTCTTCCCTCCTTTCTCCCTTCCTTTCTCCCTTCCTTCCTCCCTCCCTCCCTTCCTTCTTCCCTTCTTCTTCCTTCCTTCCTTCCTTCCTTCCTTCCTTCCTTCCTTCCTTCCTTCCTTCCTTCCTTCCCTCCTTCCTTCCTTTCTTTCTTTTCTTTCTGTCTTTCTCTCTCTTTCTCTCTTTCCTTTTTTTTTTTAAAAAAAAGGGTTTTTATTGATTTTAGAGAGAGGAAGGGAGTGGAGTAGAGAGAGAGAAACATCAATGACGAGAGAGAAACCTGGATGGCTGCTTCCTGCACTGCCTCTACTGGGGATGGAGCCAGTCACCTGGGCATGTGCCCTGACCAGGAATCAAACCGATGACCTCTTGGTTCAGAGGACAACGTTCAACCACTGAGCCACACCAGCCGGGCAGGAGCTTGCCATCTTGACATTGTGTCCCTCCTCCCTGGGCAGAACCTCAGGGCCACTGCACCACGTGGCCTACTTCTCCTGGACTGACATTTCCTTTTTTTTTTAAAAAAAGGGTTTTTATTGATTTTAGAGAGAGGAAGGGAGTGGAGTAGAGAGAGAGAAACATCAATGACGAGAGAGAAACCTGGATGGCTGCTTCCTGCACTGCCTCTACTGGGGATGGAGCCAGTCACCTGGGCATGTGCCCTGACCAGGAATCGAACCAATGACCTCTTGGTTCAGAGGACAACGTTCAACCACTGAGCCACACCAGCCGGGCAGGAGCTTGCCATCTTGACATTGTGTCCCTCCTCCCTGGACAGAACCTCAGGGCCACTGCACCACGTGGCCTACTTCTCCTGGAGTGACACCTCTGCAGACCTTGCAGAGGGGAATACCGGCTCCTGCTCTTCTAGGCTGGCCCCGCCCAGTATGGCATCTCTGGTCCTTAAGAATGCTGGGTGGGGGGATAGGATAGGGGTAACTCATTGGAACACTGAAGCTAGGTGAGGAAAGGGGGTGCAGTCCTCTGGGTTATGGCCACCCAGAATAGAAAGTCTGCAACATAGAGCTGGGGGTGGGAGGGAGGGATGAGGAAGGCCAAACACTGAGAAAAGCTTCTCTGACAGACAGGGGAACATAGGGACAGCTCATGGCCTACATGCACCAGAGTCTTGTTCTTACCAAGATAGGATTTTCTTTAATAATGTTTCATGATTTGCTACAGGCTCTTATGTCAATTTCCAAACACTTTGTTGTTGTTTTTTTAATTATTTTTTACCAGTTAAATGGTTGCTTCACTGAGAAAAAGGTTGGCCAAGCAACTCACAGGGTCATTCTAGAAGCGCTGGCTCTACAGATGCAACATTTTTTAATCGAACCTGGGACCCTTGAGTCCACAGGCCGACGCTCTATCCACTGAGCCAAACCGGTTAGGGCTACAGATGCAACATTTTAATGTTGGAATATTATGAATAAGTTGATGCCAAGAAATTAATCAATGTGGATGAAATGAATACATTTCTTGAAAACCACAAGTTATTAACATCATTACAAGAAGAAACAGATACAGTAGCTAAGATTCAGAAACAGCCCAAGTGCACATCAGTAGATGAGTGGATAAAAAAGCTGTGGGACATTTACACCATGGAGTACTATGCAGCTGTAAAAAAGAGGGATCTCTTACCCTTTGAAACAGCATGGATGGGCCTGGAGAATATTACGCTAAGTGAAATAAGCCAATCTGAGAAAGATAAATATCACATGATCTCAGTTATTTGTGGAATCTAATGAGCAAAATGAATTGACCAACAAAATAGAACCTGAAGCAGGGAGGCCTGGAACAGACTGACATATCTCAGTGTGGGGTTTGTGGGGATGAGAAGAGATAACCCAAAGAACGTATATACTTATATGCACAGCCATGGACACGGGCAATAGGGTGGTGAAGACCTGGGGCTGGGTGGGTAGGGAGAAGAGGGGCAAACAGGGGGGGAAATGGGATATATCTGTAATACTGTCAACAATTTAAAATATATATATATTTTAAAGAGAAACAAATAACTGTAAATTGATATATTTTCTTTAAATATTATAGCTATTAAATACTATTTAGATATTGTAATTGATATAAGATGCTGCAGCTTACAAAGATCTATTAGAATGCTATTGATAAATAGTTGGAGGGAAATGAGAAGAAAACCACACTGTCCATTTAGTTAATGTTTCATTTAGTTCTTTGGGGAGCAATTCTGCTGTAGGCTACCTAGTTAAAAATATATTTTTTAAAATAGAGCATTACCTCTAATATCACTTAAAGACATATTTATAAATAATAGGTTAACTAACAATAAATTACATTAAAAAGAAACCATAGACATATTTTATAAATAATAAATCATTTGAAAACCAAAAACATCAATTGTTCTAGTTCTTCAAAAAGACCCCAAGAGTGGTTCTAAGAGAGCTGTTTCGTGTTTGTGCTATTTCACCGCTGCCCTTGAATGCCCTGAGACCACAATTTTCAGACCTGCCTAATCCATAAAATTAGTAGCGGGGAGTGAGTTTACACTATTTTCTGTTGTTGTAAGGAAGGATTTACTAGAGATGAAGGTATGGAGGGAGCCATGAAAACAATTCGACTCTAAAAATATGACGGAGAACACATATGTAGGTTATTCTAAGTTGCTTACTTTGTGGACTATTTCTACTCATGAATAATGAAGTAGAGAATGGCTACAATTTTCCATACAAAATGTTCCTAAAAGTTCCAAGTATTCCTGTTTCAGTAATGAGGCTGCTGAAGGGGAATTGAACTTGGATATGTGTAAATTGCCTCCGTTCCCTAACACACGGAATGAGGAGACACCACCTGAGAAGAATTAATGGAGGAGGGTACCCTATAGGTACTTGACAGCTGCTCTTTCCAAGACTGGAAGCGGCATCATTAAGGATGATAAATGACAAAGTTGAAGGACAAGAGGTGAAATTGGCAGGTTATCCCGGAATATGGTAATGAAATGTTATAATAGCACTTGGAGTGGCTTCAGCTAGTCTGTGTGCAGAAATTTCTGACACATCTGGTGTCAAATTGTGGAATTTTATCTCCAAGAAGGAGCGATATGAAAATGTACCTGGCTCCTACTGGCAGTGACAGGTTAAGAAGAAGTCAGTAAATAAACTTTTGAAGTTTGTGTTCATGCTATACAACACCATTATTTGGGATCTTTTGCAGATCTTCAATAAAAGCTCTTTTTTAAAATAAATGAACTTCTGTCAAAGACTCCCCATACCATAGTTATTGAATTTTTCATCCATTATTCTAGTCTGCTGAGCCTTGTTGAAAGCCTGCTTTTATGATCCAATAGATAACTCCAGTAGGCACACCATGACCCAGTTTCCGTATCTTTAAAATGGGGATAATAATAATAATAATGATATCTAATTCAAAGGGTTCTGAATAGTGAATGAGTTAACACATGAAAAGTTTATAGTATATTCTCAATATTTAAGATATTATTGTTCAATAAATTGACTTAGGATCATGACAAACTCAAACCAAGATAAAACTCTACATGCCACTACACATTTTTTTCCAGGGAATAATGGTCTGGCAATCAAAATTATTTGAGTTTACTATTTTTGCCAGTGACAATCCATGTCATGGGATCCATTGCCAGACAATCCAGTGGTTGGAACAACACTCGGTCCATCTCCTTCTATCGAGAATAAAATGATAACAGTTGTTATATGTGTTGCTTAAATCAAAGTGCCCTATGTATGCTCCTGAGATAATTGATAACCCCAACTCAAACATAAAACATAATTTCAATATATATGATTTTGCCTCTGAATATCTGGAATACCAGAGACCTCACTCTCTTTCATAAAGGTTTTGGTATTCTTCATGAATTCATTCTTCCTTTCGTTTTGATGAGTATGTTCTATGAGCTAGGTAATGGCCTACAGATTTAAAAGAAATTGATGTATATTATTGTCTTGGATTTCTTCCAGTCTAAGGAAATACAGGGCATTGTCATAATTCTATGGAGAAATTATGACTAGGGCCATGCAAGTCCAGAGGGTCATGTGAGATTTCCTCAAGGGTGTGACATGTGCTTGGGCTTGAAGATGAGTGAACCCCAGAGAAAGGGGAGGGCGTCCTAACAAGTAAGGTGTGTGTGAAAAGGACAGAGGTGTGTGGGATGTGCAACTGTTGAGACAAGAGAAATAGTGGGGCCTATAGGGCTGTTGGGAACTGGCAGGATATGATGCTGGAGGGGTGGGAAATGTTGATATAAATTATTTAGGGAACAACACCATAGAGTGCATTCCTTAGTGCCTGATTCCTTGTGAAAGACTGTGATGTGAACGAAGTTCAAGGTCAGAGATGGGAAAACTTAAAGAGGCTTGCTGGGCTATGTCCTTAACCCCTAGAGTGCCAGGGAGCGCGATCGCGCTCCTCCTGTCTTTCGCCAAAAGTGCCGGGAGCGCTATAGCGCTCCTCCTGCAGTGTCATTATTAGATGCTAGTAGTTCACTCTTTATTGACACATGGCACCTAAGTGCAGATTACTTATGATGCCAAATGTTTGTAGTTCTAAAATTGACCACTGGCATGTATCTGCCTAATTTTTTACAGGTACTACGATTTTATGAAGTTTACTCATATTTTGTAGCCCTAAAGCTTCGAAATGGCGTCCAGGTCTAAGTCTGCTTTTATTAGTGATGATGATATTGCTAAATATGTCAATGTAGTAAAGGTTTCCTTAAGTTTTTGAATATGTAACTTCATTGACTTGCGATTCATAATTTTTTTCCTAAACTGCTGCAAAATCGGCAAAAATGCCTTGGCGATTTTAGCATAGGTCCTAGGATACTGGTTGGCACTCAAAGGGTTAACTCAAGACTCTTAACCTCTAAAGATCCCTCTTCTCTGGAAAAAGGTCATGAGGTCACCATGCTCTGACATGGGTGCAGGTCATGAGGCCCAGGGGGTCTTGAAAGCTCTCATCCACCACCCATGTGGGTGGTAGGACTGACTATGGCATTTCCTGTCCCCACTGGTCGCCCTTAATGCAGGCAGCCCAATGTGAAAGTCGTTCAAGCCTTCCCCGCAGAGGCAGGAACTAGTACAACTGGTGCCTTCTTGCACACCTGAGTTCTTTTGTTCTCCACACAATGAGAAAGAAAAATCTGTGAGAAGCGTAACTAATGCTAGAGTTGTCCAATTCCAACCCATTCTTACCTCAGGCCTCGCCTGGTTGGCACTCAAAGGGTTAACTGAAGACTCTTAACCTCTAAAGATCCCTCTTCGCTGGAAAAAGGTGATGAGGTCACCATGCTCAGACATGGGTGCAGGTCATGAGGCCCAGGGGGTCTTGAAAGCTCTCATCCACCACCCATGTGGGTGGTAGGACTGACTATGGCATTTCCTGTCCCCACTGGTCGCCCTTAATGCAGGCAGCCCAATGTGAAAGTCGTTCAAGCCTTCCCCGCAGAGGCAGGAACTAGTACAACTGGTGGCTTCTTGCACACCTGAGTTCTTTTGTTCTCCACACAATGAGAAAGAAAAATCTGTGAGAAGCGTAACTAATGCTAGAGTTGTCCAATTCCAACCCATTCTTACCTCAGGCCTCGCTTCTGCCTTGCAAAACTTTCTGTTTGAATCTCATTGTCCCTTTTTTTTTTTTGGAAATGATTAAAATAATGAAAATAAGATGCTCTTTACAGAAATTTTAATTCAATAAATTTCCTAGGACCTGGCCATTACAGGATGGGAAATTTTCCTGGAGTTCGAGCCAAGCTTCTTGCACACCTGAGTTCTTTTGTTCTCCACACAAGGAGAAAGAAAAATCTGTGAGAAGCGTAACTGATGCTAGAGTTGTTGTCCAATTCCAACCCATTCTTACCTCAGGCCTCGCTTCTGCCTTGCAAAACTTCCTGTTTGAATCTCATAGTCCCCCTTTTTTTTTTGAAACGATTAAAATAATGAAAATAAGATGCTCTTCACAGAAATTTTAATTCAATAAATTTCCTAGGACCTGGCCATTACAGGATGGGAAATTTTCCTGGAGTTCGAGCCAAGACTTCACTGAGGGATATTCTATTAAGGGTCAAACAACATCACCAACCACTCCCACCAATTCTTAAGCCCACCCCCCATCAGTTTTAAGAACCCGGGAAGTGTCTCACTTCTTAAGATTGTTGTTGTCACAAAATCTTAATGGTCCTTTCAAATGAAAATGTACCTCCCAGGCCTAGTAACTGACCTATTTGGTTCCACCATAGATCATCATAATTTGACAGGGTCACTTATTTTAGAGTTTGATTGCCTTCCTTGCCTCCGGGTGCTGGAGGAAAAAAGGGATTTGTGGCTGAAAGGGTTAAGTGGGTTTTATTATAATGTGCTCCCGTTTCATTTCCCTCCCTTCAGCTCCTTCACAAAATGTTAATCTAATTGTGATACTATCACTTTGATGACAATATGACAAGACAGACAAATTTGATTTTATTCTCCACAGAGCAAAGCATATGCTGCTTGGAGGTTTTGACAGAGAGAAGGACATAAAACAAATGGCGTTCATGAATATACAATTTTTATTGTACACAGTAGCGACATCCAAACTTCGGAGACGCGTGGGTGAGACTGAGGCTTTCCTATTGAGATTAATGGGTATGCGAAGCCATGCCAACGGAGAATACCACGGTTTATGTGAAAAACGTCGATGTGGATACGAATAATTTTCTTCTCAAGATGAATGATACACTAATGGCTGCGAGACACTTGTGCCCAGTAGCGGTTCGTCCCAAGTAATTTTTCTGTTGTTATTGTAAATTGTATAATCTGAACTGCAATGCTAGCCCTGCTTAGGTAAAGGTCAGGTTAGTGCTGTGGGTGGTTATAAAGCAAGGAGGAAATTGGTGTGTGGGGTCCCCTGTTGATAGCTTATGAACGATTCCAAGATGATTTTTTTGGTAACTCTATTTCTCGTTTAATGTAATATAGCGAGCGAAGACGGCACACATTAACAAAACACAAATTAGATTTTTCCAAGTCAACATGCGTCTTCCGAAGGAGTGGAGGGTTGTTGGGGAAAGGACAGTGTGAAGGTCAAAGACACCGTGCAGAACCGGGAGCGGCTCGTTGTCAAGAAAAGAAGAGAAATGAGAAGGGCTGGGAAGTTCTCATGATTGGATTTGACTCATCGCAACACAGAAGTCCAATAGGAGGTCCTGGTCTTTGCCATGAAGAGCCTCCTCGGATATTAAGTGAGGTCCAACCCACCTCGCCTTAAACCAGGATGGAAATGGTTGCATATTGCATATCCTTGTTGCTAAATGGATATTTATAGGATAATGAGCTCAGAGAGACTTGGCATAGGTCATATTTGAATCTCAAAGTTTCTTCTTAATTTTTCAAAGAATAAAGACCCAAATGATAACATGAAATGCAAAAGCAGATTGTCAAACTTTAAAGACTTCAAATATGTGTGTGTGTGTGTGTGTGTGTGTGTGTGTGTGTGTGTGTGTGTGTATACTCATTTCCTAACATTACAGACCTGAAAAAATATACTTGGAATTTAGTAATATGTCTCAAGAAGTACAAGACTCTATAGTTTAACTATACAACTTCCTTCCACATAAGCATTCATATGACTCTCTGGTCAACAGGAAAACTTTCATACAATACAATGTTAAATGGAAAGGGTTAGACTAGCCTTGGCATTGAAGGTCTTTTTTTAAAAAAAAATTTCTTTTTTTATTGTTTAAAGTATTACAAATAGTAGTACATATATCTTCTTTTCCCCCCAATCGACCTTTCCCCAGCCTCCCCTACCCCCCCGGCACATGCCCTCACCCCCCTCCCCGTGTCTTGCGTCCATTGGTTATGCTTATATGCATGCATACAAGTCCTAATAACTAAGATATTGAAGGTCTTTTAAGATCATCTAGTGTAACCATAGTTTCCCCCTGGAGCTGACAGACCCTCTTGGCCAGCCAGCGTCCATTGGGGGAAATGCCTGTTCTTGAGTCAGGTGGGGCTGACTCCACCCGGACGAGAGAGTGGGCCTATGACGCAGGCATGCCCTATCCACGCCCTCCTGGCATCTTCACTGGAACACTCTGGAAATAAGCACTATCTTTTCTTCCTAAGCAGTTGGCCTCAATGTAGACAGGAAAGCTCTTTGTCACCACTTGAGGGGACCTGCTAGACAGTGACCCCAACACGAGAGAGAGCAAATCTCAGAGGAAGAAAAAGTGGGCGCACAGGTCCTGGACCAAGCCGTAGCTACACGACTGAACACCCCAGTGGCACGAGCCATCACGTTTCTTTCTCAGTGAAGCAAGACAAAGCTACGTTTTCCATCCTTTATAAATGAGAGTGTCCCAAGCAATTCTTTGAAGACCATTTCTGCTAATTCTCCTGTAATACCCCTCGTGTGTAAGTGGAAAAAATAAATCAGTATGCTAGAAAAGATTAGAATAGCTTTGTTACTGACACGCTCTCTCCCTAGAAAATTCATTTGTCTTTGCTGTCTGGTCCTTCTCACAAGAAATTCTTGTATTATTTCTTCCGATGTATCTAAGAAGAAGATCGTGTCTGCTAAACCCACCAATAGGTCACAAAGTCATTTTCCTGTTTTCAAATAATTGAGTGTGCTTACATTTTTGGTCATCAGAGTTTTAGATCAGTGGAGATACCAGTTCTAGTGTTCTAAATTCCAAATTCCAGCCAAAAGCAAATTAAATATATATATATATATATTTACATATATATATATATGTTTTTATTGATTTTAGAGAGGAAGGGAGAGGGAGAGAGAGATAGAAACATCAATGATGAGAGAGAATCATTGATTGGCTGCCTCCTGCATGTCCCCCACTGGGGAGCGAGCCCACAACCCCGGCATCTGCCCTGACCAGGAATCGAACCATGACCTCCTGGTTCATAGGTCGACGCTTAACCACTGAGCCACGCCAGCTGGGCATCAGTATTGTTGAGAGCAAAAGATGATAGGCACATTGACTGGCATCCAGCATGTCGCTACCAGCTGTAGCCACTGCGGCATCATAATGCATAGAGCAGTGGTTCTCAACCTTCTGACCCTTTAAATACAGCTCCTCATGTTGTGACTCAACCATAAAATTATTTTAGTTGCTACTTCATAACTGTAATGTTGCTACTGTTATGAATCATAATGTAAATATCTGATATGCAGGATGGTCTTAGGCGACCCCTGTGAAAGGGTCATTCAACCGCCAAAGGGGTCGCAACCCACAGGTTGAGAACCACTGGCATAGAGGCTCTTTGATAACTGAGAAGATGATAGACAGAAATGAAAGAGGAGGAGAGCTGAGAGGAGGCTAGCCTGGTAGCAGTTCACCTTACTGCTAGTCAGACCACTGTGCTCCCAGGAGCTATAGAAATAAAGTTGTTTCAATATTTTCCACTATGATTGTAAGCACTCGATCCACTTCAAAACATGGGAGGATTTTTTGCCAACACATTTAGGGATCCCCACTGCAAGGAACCCCAGTTTTCTCTGGGAGATCCTTCTTGAAGCCCTAGCGTACAGAGCAATCAATGGCCTCACTGGTTTTCTCAGTTTCCTGTGTGCCCAACTGCCTGCTCCTAAAAGCACTGTCATTTCAAGAAACCTGTGTGAACTACATTTTGCAGTAGGACACAGTGTCCAGAAGGTCCCTGGCCAGCGTCATACAGACGGTAAGAAGTCCATCAGACGGCTACTGTGGCAGATGACAGCTTTCTTGCAACCTAGTGACAGACGGTCTATATATTCTCAGAGGTGAGCGTGCTGGTCACCCCGTGGCCGGAACGCTGCACCAGCCAGTTCTCCCGGCCTCGGGTTTGGCTTACACGGATCGCTATTCCTGAAGCATCATGTTCTCTGTGTCTCACCCTCATTCAGAAATGACAGCGCAAGGGGCTAACATGTATTGTGCATCACCCGCCAGCTATCACCCTGCTGGTGGCTTTCTCACATGTTATCTCACTGAGGGGTCACAAGACACCCACGAGGTGCTCAGGGACCTGGGATACCATGTTCGTACTACTCGGGTCACATTCCAACTCCTCAAATGCCCACTGAAGGCAGAAGGCCAACCCAGCTCTTAGTATTCCTGTTTCGTTCCCATTTTTAGTATATGTGCTGCCGAAGCGAGCACTCTTATTATTCCTCATACTAGTCCTTGGCCACCTAGGGCAGTCCCTCCATGTTTGTGCTGTGTGTTTTCCCTTTGCCAAAACACCCTCCTTGCCCTCTACCTATCCAGGTTTTTAACTCCTTCAAGGACCACGCCCACACCTCCTCCTCCAGAGCCACTTTTAACTGAGGGCCGCTTCCCTTTCAAAGTGGGCTTTTTCCTCTCAGACGTATCCATCTGTGAGTCTGTACCTTTTTGGTACAGACGTGCTTGTGTATTACCTTGAATAAACAGTTGTCTACATTTTTTCATAACTGCCCCTTTGAGTAGATTGCAGTCAACTTATAGACCTTATTCATTCTCTCTCTCTCTCTCTCTCTCTCTCTCTCTCTCTCCAATAAGTATTTTTTTTTAATTTATGGGGTGGCTCTTGTAGTTTCAGATACTGAAATTATTCATTGAATTGCATCCTATGCCTGTGAAAGAAAATTTAGGTGGATTTGCCTTGAGTGTCAAGTTCCATGACTCTGAATAGGAGGATGATCACCCGAACTTGGGTGGGAAGGATAATTCAGTTGGCGCCTTGTTTCGTTCAGTGGGCTTCCTGTGTGGGGTTGCCTGGTTCATGAGGAGCCTCGGGAGGGTCATTGCTATTGTCTCAGATGTCCTTCTCTCCCCAGAGTGAGCAAAGAGTCATCCTAATGCATGATGTCATTCCTTCTCCATGAATGATGCCATTCCTCCTCCATACATGACGTCATCATTCCTTCTCCAAGAATGATGCTGTGGCAACTCAAAAGTGCTTCAGACACTCAAGCCTGTTCAATCATGGCAAGACCAAGACGGTCAAGCCAATAATTTGAATGAGTATTTCTAGTACCTTCTAGAAAATGAATCAGAGCCTAAGGTCCTTTGGTCACAGCATCAGAAAAGACTTCCTTGGTCAAAGGGATACGTACTCTCTTGAAATCAAATGTCCTACATCAGTGAGAGAGGGTGTCTTGGTGCAGACAGAGGGTGCTTAGCCAGAAAGAGCATCTTAGAGTTACAACCCCTAACTCGCAGTTCCTTCGGACCCATGTCCATTGCTCATCTCCACCTTGTTTTTTTGTGGCCATTGAGGTGATAGCTCCCCCGTGTCTGCTCTGCTCCATCGGAATGAAGCAGGGAAGCTGGGGCATCCCAAGGTTTGGGGCTGGTTACTGTCTTCAGCAAAGATGCTGGGATTCATTCTCATCTCATTTGCTGAGCGCTCTATCATTAAAGTGTCATTGAGAACTGACACCACTTAATTTTAGCAGCTTTCCATTCCCGTTTGCAGCCAGAATAGATTTAAATGGAGAGGAGTGCCAATGACAGAGAGAGGGATATTTTTACACCACACTCAGCATTTTATCAAACAAAGCAGCCCCCCGGGGAACGGAGGACAATACATTATCAAACCAAACTCTCTTCTGATCCCGGTAAATGGGTATTTAATCTTCCCATTGCAGGCATCCACTCTGATGGGCCTGTAATGAATATACTGGCAGGGACATTATCTGAGCTGTTGTGCTTTCCGACTCCTTAAAATATCCTTGGTTTTTATTTGGGGTGTGGTCAAAATTTAAAAAAAAAATTAAAAAGAAAGAAAGGAAAAAAGCTTCGGGGCTCAGCTGTCCCCTGCAGGCCACGGCAGACCCTTTACCTCTCTGCAAATTACACAGCTCTGGAGATTTTTCCCCTATTAATTGCATAATTGCTTTTCCTGCCAAAGTAATTTGAACCCTTGGGGGTTAAGAAAATCACTTACTGTGAAATAGTGGCAATTTTTAACCCATTCGGCTGAAGTTTCTTTGCCTAATTAAATGTAAAATGGCTGTTTGCTGCCCATGGTGTGTGTGTGTGCTTGTTGCAGATGCTATTCCCACAGCTTTGCACTAGAAGCTTCGAGTATTTAAACCTTGATGGACCGATTACGCTGAGCTCTCTCTCCTGTGTCCTGGCTCCTCGCATCCTTATTTTATGCAGGAAGAAAATTTTCTTTAATCACTGGCTGATCTCTAATATGTGTGTCTGTCTTTCTGTGCATGAAAAAAAAATAATAAAGCCATCATCCGTTAGAGGGAATATTCAGGCTGCTGGGAAAATTCCCTGTCGCGGGCGGGCTTTGAGAGCCTCTCGGTGGGTTTTTACAGAAGTCCGAGTTATTATTCCATGGTATAAAAAGGTCACACCTGAAGTCAACTTTTGTCGTCCCAAATTAGCCCTGCCTTTTTGCCTTTTTGTTTCTTGCCTTAGCGTAAGTCACATCCTTAGAGCAGGAACCATTCGTAAGAAGCAATTTAACCACAAGGCTTTATGGTTTTCACCACTAGATGTAATCTGGTGTTCTGAAAGATGTAAATTTTGCCCGCAGCGAAGAGACTTTAAGCACAGGAATCCATTCAAAATAATGAATAGCATCCTGGGATGTGAGATCTGGAAGGCAGTTAGGATGACAAATTTGAGGCTTTATAGACGCAGAGACGGAGTATCAAAGAGATCCAGGCAACTGGCTTGCCTGAGGCTTTACAGCTAAGAAGGACCAGTGTTGGGACTCAAGTCTTGGTCTTTTGATTCCAAACACATTGCTCATTTGCTCGTGGCTGTGATTAAAGCGCCCAGTGACAGCCAGCTCTGTGTGGGGGGCTCATTACTGAAGAGCCTGGTCAGTCTGGACATCTGGCTTCCATCCTTCGTTTCCGGTGGCCACTGCGTTCTTCCGTTATTGCTGAAGTTGGCACATGATGAGAGCAGATCTAGCCAAAGACCCGTAGCAATGAGAGAGGAAATGAGAGGGAGAGGAAAGTAAGTAACCTGGAGAGGAATGATCATCGTGTTTTCGGACCATGGGCATGCGTGGCGCCCTCTGAGACAAAGACGCCAGGAGAGGAACATGGTGACAAGTCAGGTGTGTCCCCCACCCTGTGGTTCTTCACTCCTGCAGCACAGAGCTTCCGGGTGCTTCAGCCTTGATTTGTTCGTGTTTTCTTGGATGCCTCCTATACGTTGCCACTCACCAGTGTCACGTGGGACTCTTTCACTTGGCATCGCAGCATGAAATGCTTTAGTGCAGCGGTTCTCAACCTGTGGGTCGCAACCCCTTTGGCGGTCGAATGACCCTTTCACAGGGGTCGCCTAAGACCATCCTGCATATCAGATATTTACATGACGATTCATAACAGTAGCAACATGACAGTTATGAAGTAGCAATGAAAATAATTTCATGGTTGGGTCACAACATGAGGAACTGTATTTAAAGGGCCAGAAGGTTGAGAACCACTGTCTACCCAGTGTGACCAGTAGACTTATATACCCTTTAACTCTTACCATGTTCTTAAGAATGCTGCCCCCCGCATATACATCCGAAGGATGGTTTCTCTCTACGTGTTGCAAGTAGGAAATGAAATGGGTAAAAATCAGGCCCGGTGTTTACTGAGAGCACGTGTCCTGGGTTGGCTTCCAGGTGCTATCTTGCAGCTGCCCTGCAATCTTCACAGCCTCTCGTGAGGCCATGTGGTCTTCATGGCCCCCGGGAGCAAAGCGAAGCTCCGAGGTCAGGTGGCTCCCCCCAGGGCACGGGGAGCGGCTGGCAGAGCTGGGCTGGAGCCCGGGTGTGCGGCCAGCAGCTCTGCACTTGGGCGTTGCTGCTGCCCAGGCTCCGAGGGCGCTGCCTCTCACTCCCTCTTCCCCGTCTCTTCCTTCTTTCCTAAAGGAACCCTCCCGCCGCCTCCCGAGTCAGTTTAGAGGCTAAAATAGCAGATGAAGCTAAAAAGTTTCTTTGACTTATAACCATTCAAAAAATCAATAAAATATGTTTAAAAAAAAAAAAAACAATCATCTGTTTCTCCAATGGGCTTTTATCCTTTGCATCACCCTTTGGAATTACTTGAACTCTAATGGGCATGGGCTTGTACTGATCCGTCTGCCTGACTCATACAACCTTCTTCTCTAAAATGACGTCTACTTCTAAGGAAGCCATGAGGAGTTACAGGTAGAGCCTGGAGTCAAGGAGAGAATGAGACAATACAACGTCCAACTGAAATCCATTGTTTTAAGCAACTAAATCATCCAACCAAAAAAAGAAAAAAGGCTACTGAGGTGTCACTGAAATACACTTAGGCCACCAAAAGGCCTGATAATGCTGATGTCTTTCATCTAGTGCTAGGACAATACGATGTATGCTATGTCTCTTTTTTCTTGCATCTCTGACCCCTCCTCCTTCACAAACCCACTGAATCAGGATATCACAATTCCCTCTGCTCCCTTCTCAAGTCCTAGTGTTAATTCCTTTATCATGCTGCCGCTCATGGTTATTAGATTCCCCTTGGACCTTTATTCAAAAAGGTAATACATCAAATATACAACACGCCAAACTTCTCTACATACAGGGGAAAAAATGTGCTTTTGTGTTGGGAGCATGATAGGCTATCCTCATACATAAATATATTTGAAATCGAAGTGTCTCTTTCAGACCTTCTTTAAAAAAAAAAAAAGCCAGAAAGTAGATCATGGTTGGGGGGGATGGGGAGGAGAGGGGTGCGAAAATTGAACTTTCCGAGATCAGTACTTAACATAAAAATTTCATCACAATCTTTATCATCTTGCAGCGGTTGCAGAAAAGGCCTAGGCCCCCCTCCACCTTTAACTTCCTAAAGTCGCCTCTTTTACCTTCAAATCTGATGAAGTGTCAAAGTCATTTACCGGTAATGAGTTCTGCTGCAAATTTTATTTTGCTTGGAATTTAATTAATGGGCCAAAGACTTTCCATTGTGATTTGAGCAAATGAATAATAAATCAAGAAAGG